TTTTGTGATTCAGAACAATATCAAAAATTAAAAATATTAATGTATATATACTTGTTATGAATTGTAATTGGACTCGCCACGCTTGTGTAGGCTGGAACTAAGCAGTTTGGTTATCATTCTTTAATTAAAATTTTGTCATTTTAAAGAAACAATACTCCTTTATAAATTTCTGCAAAGTAGGGTTTGAAATTTTTGTATTATTTTATGAATATATTATTTTTATATTAATTAAAGTTTATTATTATTAATTGAACAATTAATTATTATTATGGTTGAACTCAACCTCCTTGTTTCTTTTATTTTTGACAAACCTACTTTTTCTTATTTAATAGAAAATTTTTATTTACTTGTTTCCATACTTTTTATTAAATTTTATTAATTAATAATTCTTTTTAATTATAATTATAATTTTTGGCTTAGGTATCAGTTCATTAATGGAAGAAAAGAATTTTGAAATAAGAACCATAAGAAGACCAACCGCATTATAAAAACAGTTTTCATACAATCATTAATTTTTTTGAATTTTTGTATCATTAATTATATTCATAGACTAGCTCATAATAATTAATCATTATTATCATTACTAAGATCTATTTCCTGTTCTGAAACTATTTAAGTTTACATTCAGCTTCAGTTCAGTTGCCATTTTTCAGTTTCCGCTCACAGCTCTCAAACTAAATTCCGCTGTTTTGCTTTGCAACTTTTTTTTTGAAAAAGCAAGTCAGTTTCGTTACAAACTTACATTTGCTATCACTATGTTTTCTTATAGTTTATGGAGAATGATGAACATCATGGAGTTCCTCCTCCACCACCACCAGTAGTTGGAGGGCCTCCACCACCACCACCACCAATTCCTCGGCTACCTCCAGTAGCTGGAAGTCCTCCACCAGTGGATGGAGGTCCTCCACCGCTGGCTGGAGATCTGCCACCAGTGGCTGGTGGTCCTCCACTGCTGGGTGGAGGTGTTCTGCCACATCCCCCTGCTGCTCCAGCACTCCATACAGCTGGAGCTCCTCTTGATGTTGCTGCTCTGCAAAGGCAGAGGCAGCTCATCATATGGCAGCTACGCCAAGTCAATAGAGAAATTGTAAGATTATTTTAGTAATTATCTGCAGTTTATATAGATACCAATATATCACCTTTCTATTCCATTTTACTTTAGTACAACAATCTTCAGAGAGGCAGGCCAAGAGGCAGGGGCAGGGGCAGGAGGAACAGCAACTCAAAAAAGAAATGTAACTTTTATTAAATTATTATTTACATGTAGATCTATAAAGTTAACTTTTCTTAAATTAAAAACGTATAATAAAAGTCAAATATCTTTAAGCGTAAAGCCAAAACAGAAATTATAAAAGCAATGCTTAAAATTAGTGTGTTTGTTCAACAACACAAAACAATTCAATACTTGAGCTTCAATCATCCTACAATACAAATACATGTGATATACATTACTTAATTATATTAATGAGTAAAGAAAATACATACCGTGGCCATACTTAATCAGATAATCAATATTAATCATAAAAAAGAATTATAGCCTTGGATCATATCCTATAACACAATAATAAAAAACTATGGAATCTCACAAAATTCTATCTTACTATGTATTCAATTGCTAAGACTATGACAATATGAAACCTGTGCAGCTGGAAACTGACGCCTCCTCCATTGTGAAAGCACCACTGATCAAAGAGCTACAACAAAACATAATGTTACAATGATGATTATTTATTAGATATTAATTTAGTTGCCACAAACAAAATCAGACAATAGCCTTAGACATTCACCATGCTATGAAAGTATTATTACACCTTATTGCTGAATCATTAAATCATTTGCAGCTGTAAATACCTTAAAGCAAAGTAAGAAAGAAACATCATCAACAGCAAGCAATGTAAACACACAGGATATATATGCTATACTAAATATGTACATGTATCTGCATGATATAACTTATGTTTGTCACAAACATACATTACAAACCGCTAATAAGATACATCTGCTCACTAAGAGGAATAACCCTTCATCTTTTAAAACTCTTTCCAAGTCTGACCTTATTCTTTAACACCACATTGCAGTCCTTGTGTAAAATATGTACCTGTGTAAATTATGAATGTGAAATTATACAACATGTACTAACAAATTGATAGTAGCATACATGCATTTATCAACAATTAATATACATATATGACATGTATAGCTCCACAATGCATATTAAGCTATGATTGACTCATACAAGTATATGTACATACACTGTACATGTAATTTAGACATACACTGTTCAATTTGCTGACTCATGCCATCCTGAATTAAGTTTCTTTTACGAGACCTGCATTGTGCAAATACACATTAATAGACCACATGAATACATTCCAATTTGCAAACAATTATTATTGTATTGTTAATGAGAACATCCATGCACACAAAAAAAGATGCATTGGCAAGCATTCATTTATTTTGAGTAAAGAAAGTACATACTGTGGCCATAATTAATGATATAATCATCAAACGAATATGCAGTATGTCACCTAGAATCATAACCTAAACCAAAATACATAAGACATCTCACAATAATCACCATCTTACTACATATTCCATTGCTAAGACTATATACAGTAATATAAAACCTATACATATGTAAACTGGCACCTCCTACCGCGTGATACAACTACTAATCAAGGAGCTGCAACCAAACATCAAGTTACATTTAATAAATAAATTAATTTAGTTGCAACAATCTAAATACAGAATTGCCTTTCATTATATTGCACATTCCAATATCAAGCAAAGGCATTGCTGAATCAGCAAATCATTCCCAGCTGAAATTACCTGTAAAGCATAGTAATAGAAACACATCAAAAGTTAGCAATGTAAACTCACAGGCTAATAATAACAATAGCACAAACAGTAATGGTGAACAAACTTTATTATTAATCACATCAAACCTCACTTTTTAACACCACATTGTAGTCCTTGAGCCAAGCAAGTACCTGTCAAAAGTATGAATGTGATACTAACTAATAATGATAATGGTAACATCTACAATATTTCTGATTG